TGACGAATATTCTATACAAGTCGTTATGTATGTGTCTATGTATGTATAAACGTGGTAGTTTCAAAAGGAAACAGGAGCACCAACTGTGTATATATTTCACCACGCATGATGGATTCCTGTTTTTTTTTTTTATTTCTAGAAACTAAATGTATATATACCTGCAAGCAAAGGGCCATCATCTCGTCACGATGCCGTCTGTAAAAGAGCACATAAAGCGCTGCCGCGAGAGAAGCGGTTTGGAGGGAATGCAGGAAATATCTGGAGTGGGGGAGTAGGAGCCCGGAAAGTGAACGAATAAGAGAGCGAGGGGGAAGGCGGCTTTGTGCAAGAGAAGGCTCTATGATACATCTCATGCAAAGTTTGAACTTTCAACAGCCGACATAAACTGAACATGTACCCCTCACTGGAACCGAAGCAATGGCATGACGTAGAGATGATAGGGAAGGGAGTGCCTTTACATTATTACGTACGAGTTACGCTCATAATGATGATGGATATAAGTCTGATGCTTGTGCGAGTTCTATCTGCGCTTGAGCACTGGCGGGCGAGTGGCCGTGACAGCTGCGGGGGGAACACAGCAACAAGCAACACTTAACACAAGATTCGACATGAATAACATGTAACATAAGTAGCCTAACAATTAAAACAAGATCTAACATAATTAAAATTGAATGAAAATAACATTTAATACAATGATTAACATTAGCAACATCTAATTATATAAAATATAACATTACCATCTGCACACACAAACCACCGAACAGCGTAACTAGTCCAACAGCGCGGAGAACCCTACACGCCAGTGGAGCTTATGTAACAACACATCGACATCCTTATGAACTGCAGAAATAATACGCTCACATTATTCACACGTTACAGATAATAACCGCGCCGCAAAGGGAGGGCAGTGCGCGTAAATCCAACAACGAGAAATGTTCCCAAGCAAATTAAACGAACGGATGGCGACCACAATGGAAATAACATTAAGATGTTAATGAATTTTAATTCCAGACTTCATTCATTTTAATTTGGATATATATAACTTCGAGGAGCCGGAATAGCTCAGTCGGTATAGAGACTGGCTACGCGCTGGACGACTGAGAGGTCGGAGATCGAGTCCCGGTAGGGTCAAGAATTTTCTCTTCTCCAAATCGTCCAGATCATCTCTGGGGTCCACCTAACCTCCTACCCAGTGGGTACCGAGGGCTCTTTCCCCGGGAGTAAAGCGGCCAGGGCCTGAAGCTGACCACTGACCTCCAGCAAGTGCCGAGGTCAAGAAAATGTGGATCTATATATCCACTCCCCCATACGCCTTCATGGCGTAGTGCTTGATTAGTTGAACACAGGGACAACTTTACCTAACTTCGAGGTAGAGTACAAAAATTTTAGCAAGATAGACAGGTCCTGATGATGACCATATACTGCCGAAACATGTAGTGAGGAAGAAGGACGACCAGAGAATAGGTTGCATTTAAGACGGAAATATATGTATATAAGAGATATGTTAATGCAACATTATGAATCTGAACATAAGTAACACTAGAACAAGGCTAACATGAATAAGTTCTTGATTAAATAAAACGTGAAATGACTCTTAATGCAAGTAACACTTAACGTAACACTCAACGCAACTAATAATTGTTTTCGTGGCACTAGAACTCATGTTGAAAACCATCCAACCTAGACATTCTGAAAGTTAGAGAAGCAGCTACTAAAATTTTGCCTAATAATTTGTGCGTGCCTGTACGTAAGTTGATGTCTCGCCCTGACACGAACCCGGACTCGAGGTTTCTGTGCTCAGAAGCAAGTCTGAAGCTACTGGAAACTGCAGAGTGGGAAGTTTAATAATTCGTGGTCTTCTCGAAATATCATTTGGGTTATCTATGAGATATGCAGAACATGTAGCATGCACAGGTCACACAATAAATACATACAGAATTTTAATCGGAGATGGGGAGGGAAAGGAATCATTTGGAAGACCTGGACGGGATCCTATCCTGACCCGGCCAAATCTAGTCCAAGCCGTTACATCCTATTTCTTTAATATATATTTTAATATGACTTTTATCTTATCCTTTAAATGGTCTTGTTGCGTTAACAATCTCTTGTTTGTAGGATGTGAGGTTCTCACAGCGGTGGTCATGGGATATAGCGCCGTTGACATTTAACGGACTACACCGCGTTATGTCCCGGAGGATAGAATTCTCTGAGAGATTTACAATAGGCGCGATACTGTCGGGCAGCCATCAGCGGGAGCAGTGAGATATCTTCGGAGACAGAACCGGAAGTGCCATTGAGGAGCGCTCGCTTTGCTGAAGGCCCTGAGGCTGGCGACTGCTAGGGGCGAATTTTGTCTAAAACCAGAGTTCTTCGACCGGGCGAGTCAGTGCTGCCAACTTCTGCCTTCAAACGTACCGACGAACATTCCCTCTTTTCCCTTCTGCAACCGATGTTCTATCAATTCCCAATTTCATTATAGCTACTTTACGTAGCGCGTATTGCGTCGCATCAACTTCTAGATCCATTTATTTAGAGTAGATGTACCAAACAATGGGCGAACTCAACCAACATGAACGCTGCTATATCAAATACAGATGTTATTTTGTTTCTTGCCGCAGAACGAGTTTTATCCGCCACAGATAGCTCAGGGCATCGAACCCGTCTCGTTCGCTAGCGGAGCTACTCAGCCCAGGACGTTGCACTTTTCACGCTGTGAAGCGCGGAAGTGTTTAAAACTGGGGGGGGGGGCAGTCCGCCTGTGAAACCAATGAAATGAAAAATTGTGTGGGCCAGTGAACTCATACTCTCGCCAGTTACAGGCGCGTTGGGCCCCACTGAGCCGCACAACAGAATCCAAACGAGACAAAATTTTGTCAAATTTCTTTGTGGATATAAGAGCGATTATGAAATTGATGGACGTGGAGTCTGCTTCTTGGGGGGGAGCAAATGACCCATTACCTCGTTCACAATAGCTCTTCCACGAGGGCATATCCCGAGCTTGTTAAATCCAATCAACATTCTTACATCATACAAAAAACGGTAAAGCTATCCCTGTAACAGACCGTGGAGGCCCATAGGGCTATGAGACGTCGAGGATCCCACATTTTCTAGACAGTCGGCTAATAGATGGCGGTAAGGTTGCCACCCTTACGCGCCGGCCGCCCTTTACCCCCAAGAATATTCCTGGTACTCATTTCTGTTAGGTGCTGAGTCGACCTCAGGGCCATAGCGCGGCTGGAAAGATTAGGTAAATTGAAAAAACC